GACTGGGGGAGACAGATCTCCCAAGGAAAGGGAAATGGAATAGTTATGGATGGATTGGAGATGGGTGGAGACTGGAACAGGAGGATCCAGTGGAGAGGAGAAGAAAGAGTGTGATGGAATGAGGTAATCCAAGGAGAGATGGCTAAAATTAAGGGCCAATTGAGGGGTAGTGTGGAAACTCAATACAGTAGAAGCTTCACAAATGTATATATACATTTACGTAGGCAATCTAAATGAAATCACCAAATAATGGGGGAGACCAAGTCCCTGCTGGACATCTCTTGTCACCAAATGAAACTTCTGGTACTGGGATTGGGTTACATGTAATTGAGTTGTTGGCCAAAGGGGTCCCATGAGAATCCCCAAATAACCCTGGTTGTTGCCAAGACTATAGGTTGCTCCTATAACCTTTAATTGATGGTAAAGTCCTATTGCTGAAGACAACACCTACTCAAATCACTGAACATGGAGAGGTTGAGCTGATGCCTTCATAGACCCTTCACCCTCACATTCTAGCATCTTGGGTATAGGAAGGTACTCCGCACACCACCAAAAGAGAAACGTCAACACCAACCCAGCCACAATCCTGTTGATCTACAATGGTTTTCTGCCTGCAGGATATGCTAGGTCAATGGTGGCACAGGTTTGTGGGAGTAACCAACCAGTATCTGATTTGACTTAAGGCCCCACTCTATGAGATGGAACCCATACCTAATACTGCTAGCGTGACCAAGAACCTGAGTCTAGATAGCCCAGAGACCTAGGGTAAAATCAAATACTACTGTCCTAAAACAACAACAACATAGCAAAAAAAAATGACTCCTAGTGGCATTCTGCTATACTCCTAGAACAGTGCCTTGTTCTGCTGTCATAGGAGAAGCTTCTTTCTACAGCAGATGGGAACAGATACATAGACCCTCAGCCAGACATTGTGTAGAGAGTGAGAAACCTCAGAACCCTTAAGCCTAAATGGGTGTCAGATCTCTCCCCTCAGGGCTCAAGGAACCCCTCAGAAGAGGAGGTGGAAAGCTTGTTAGAGCCAGAGGGGATGAAGGACACCAAGAAAACAAAGCCTTTTAAAATCAACATGGCCATCTTACACTTGAACTCACAGAGACGGAGGCAGCATGCACAGGTCTGCACGAGATGCGGTCTGAAAGAAGTGGACACATGTCCCTATACCTAACCCTGAAGCTGTCTCCAGTTGATAACCACTTGGAAATGTAAAGTTAGTTTCCTCCAAGGGATTTCACCGGGGGAAACAAACTACTTTTGAGTGTAGGTTGTATGCCCAGCAGTAGACAGCCAACAGAAACGAACCCCAACATCCCTGGGGGTTCCTTGTCTCATAATGTTCTGTCAGGAATCTTCCCCTCACTCTCCTCCCAATTTTATCTTATTTTCAAAAATTTTATTTACACATATATGCTGTGGGATGTTCTGTATGGCAAATGTGTTGCTAATTAGTCAATAAATAAAACACTGATTGGCCATTGGCTAGGCAGGAAGTGTAGGCAGGACAAGGAGGAGAATAAAGCTGGGAAGTGGAAGGCTGAGTCAGAGAGACACTGCCAGCCGCCACGATGACAAACAGCATGTGAAGATGCCGGTAAGCCACGAGCCATGTGGCAAGGTATAGATTTATAAAAATGGATTAATTTAAGCTGAAAGAACAGTTAGCAAGAAGCCTGCCATGGCCATACAGTTTGAAACCAATACAAGTCTCTGTGTTTACTTGGTCGGGTCTGACGGCTGTGGGACTGGCAGGTGAGAGAGATTTGCCCTGACTGTGGGCCAGGCAGGAAAACTCTAGCAACAAATGGCGTCCAACGTGGTGGCAAGAGTTTCCACCTAAAACCTGAGAAAAGATTCTAAAACGGAGCTAAAAACAGTTCCTAATTGTCTCTCTCAAATGAGCGGCAGCTGCTGGTTTGAGTTACTGGTGGGTTCCTAGCGTGCGTGCTCGACCTGCCTGTGGCGGGAATGAGGCCTTTGCAAGTGGCACTTTGAGCTGCATGGTGGATTTAGCCTTTGCTGGTGCAGAGCAAAAGGGGAGGTTTCTGGGCTACACGCTGCTTGGCTAAAAGCATAGACCCCCGATAGCTCCCAGAGCTGGCGGTAAACGTAGCCATGTTGGGAAGCTGAGGTGGGTGGATCCAGCAGCCACAGCTGCTGCAGTTTAAGGCAATAGATTTACAATAAGACAGATTCAGATGTAATAGTTTACAATGTGTGTAAAAGATACGTAGGCTTGAAAGAGACAAAAAAGATGATATATAGAGTTATAGAAACAAATACATAGTTTTAAAAAATAAAGTCTTTAAAGAGACAGTAAAGGTAGTATAAAAAATAAGCCACGTAAAAATGGATATTACACAGAGAATCTGCATTGTCTTGTCTTTGGGACTTTTAACTGCAGAAAAACATTTCATTGTAAAAGCTGTTGAGTTACGCCAAAATGTATATTTTAAAGGTATCTTGACTTCAAAATTTGAATATAAGGATATGTTACTTTGGAAAGGAGACTCTGCTTTTGTTTCCACAGAAAGCCAGAGGCTATGGATTTGTTCCAGATTAAGACACATCAGGTTTGACCAGCCAAGACCACCTGAAACAAATGTAGGGGTCTGGAAAAATGGCTCAATGGTTAAGAGCGGTTCTTGCTCTTGCATTATCTACTGAGAGAAAAAAAAAGTTGTCAGTCCTTAATAATGAGTATGTAGTCCAACCCACTTTTTTTCAGAACTGGAAATGCAGAGAGTAATTTATCTTGGCTCATATCTAATTAGCTATGTTTATAATGTAGATCTCCGTGTTTCTCAGACCCTGTGTTCCACTGCAGCAAATGGCCAGATTTCCAAAGGCCAATTGGAGAAATTGGGGCTGAGGCAGGAAAAATTATGCAAAGCAATTTGCCTCTTTTGTCGTAATCTTGAGGCTCAATTACCAGAGTAAAATCAGCGCACAAAGGAAACAGCTGAGCTCGTGTATTTTCCTTGTTATCTAATATTTTAGGAGCATTGTTTAAATAGACTTGACTGCAGCTCACAGTAAGAAAGGCAATTTAAATAACAGCAGGGGGCACACTTTTACCCTGATTTATTTATTTTTTAAATACAGGGTCTCTCTATGTGTCTGTGTAGTCCTGGAACTGCTATGTAGAACAGTCTGCCCTTGAACTCATGGATATCTGCCTCTGCCTTCCAAGTGCAGACTACAGACATGGGCTACCACACCGAGCTACTTAGGAAGTAATTAAAAAAAAAGATTTATGTGTATGAGTGTTTTGCTTGCATGTACATGCCTGGTGCCTGATGTGGTCAGAAGAGGTGGGATTCCCTGGAACTGATGGCTGTGGGCCACCATGTGAGTGCTGGGAAGAGAAACCGGTTCCGCAAGAACATGTGCTCTTAACTGCTGAGCTCATCTCTCTAGCCTCCCACAAACTAATTTTTGCTTGGTTTGGATGTTTTGCCTTCTTATCTTTTAAATTATATTCTATTGAAACCTAATTTATTAAAAAAAATGAAATTGGCTTTTCAGTTGGTCTGACCACCACCAACAACAACAAAAAAAACCCATTCAGATAGGTGACAAATTTGATCTGGTAACAAATTGCAAAGTTACTATCTTCACATAACTTAGGTTTATGTGAAGTACAATCGCTCAGGTTTGTGAACAGGACACGGCAGAATCTTTCCCTCATTGGGACAGCACTTCATGGCAAGCGTCTCATTGTTTTTCAAATGTTGAAACATATCTGATTCAAGACTGTCTGAAAGATCAGTAGCCTGGCATCATTTAACTGGGCAGGCAGTTGCTCTTTCCTTGGGCAACATAATGGCCAGTCAAGTCTGTAATTTTTTTTTTTAGAGCTGCTAATGAAAGCTATCAATAACAGGCCAAACTCTGTGGCCTATTTATTTTGAAGTATCATTTGAAGATGATGTGGCTGTCATCCGATTTCCTGTCCAGACAATGTAATGGGAGTTGGGTAAACTTGAAACAACAAAACAGTTCTAAAGTAGAAGGGAAAGCAAAGGATTGAATTTTTATCTCAGAAAACTGCTTTGTTAGCGGGGCTTAGTGTCCTCTTTCTGTTCTTCTGTATTGTAACTTGCTTTCCTCCAGTGATGAGCTCTGTCTACCGCGTGCTCTCATTCACAGGATGGAGAGGGGTTCCCGGGGTGGGGTCATGGTTAAAAAAGCCAAAGTATCTTCGTGTAAGAGTTGAGGTACTTAAAAAAATAAATTAGGCTTTATTTTCCAATTGAGAAGTAGTGCCAAATTGCCACGTATCTGTTTAAACTGCCCACCGGCCTCACTGTAAAACTTAATGACTGTAAGAGCTGGCACGAGGATCCTGAACATGACTAGGAACAAAAAAAAAAAAAATAAAATAAAAGCCTGCTAGGCTATTTTCATCCCAGCGTGACTGAAATCCACGTTGCAAACCTTTTCAGGGGGAACACAGCAAACGAGTGAACCTTTGCAACAGTGAACGTTCAATTGCAAAGAGGAAGCAGCAGTTCCCAAATGCTTTTCGAGCCCCCTCCTCGAGGCTGGCTGGGCTGGATCTGGACCGAGCCGGCGGCGTGGGGGAGGTCGGGAGGCGACCTCCTCAGGTGAGCCAGGCCTTCCCGCAAAGCCTCTCACCTCAGGGGACCTAGCGGAGCGCGCGGAGGCGAGGTGACCGCGACAGCATGCCAGCACGGCTAAGGCTCGACAGCGCCCGGGTCTGCAAAAAAAAAAAAAAAAAAAAAAAAAAAAAAAGCCCAGGGCCGCCGCCTCCGCCCCTGGCGGTGTCACGTGACGGGAAGGGGGCGTGGCCGGGCGCCGGGGCTGGGGGGCGGGGCGGGGCGGGGCGGGGCTGGGGCGCGAGGGGGCGGGGCCTGGCACGGGCCGGCTGGTGGCGGCTCGCGGCGCCCAGAGAGGCGGCGTCAGGGGCGGATGACAGCATTCGGCTGCGACGCGCTCCCAGCTGGGCGGCGGTGGTAGCGGCAGCGGCGGCCAGCAGCGGCAGCCCGAGCGGCGGCAGCGGCAGCGGCAGCGGCGTCCGACTTGGCCGCCGCCGGGAACGGCAGCGGTCGGGGAGGAAAAAGAGGGGGAGGGCCCGCTCGTCCTGGCCCGCCCTGGCCCGCGGGGCCGAGGGGGCCCGAGTTCCCGCGCCGCTCCGGCCCGAGCCAGCCCCCCGCCGCAGCTAGCCTGCGCCCTCCGCCGGGGCTGCCTCGCAGTGGTTGCTGCCGGCGACCGCGACCGAGAGAAGTTGCGGGGAGGGGGGGTCCCACCGGACCCGAGGACCCGGGACTCGGGCGTCCCTGGGATCCCACCGAAGCCTGCTCCGGGCGAGCCGCCTCCCCAGGGGCTCCGCATCGGTGAGTGGCGCTTGTCCCCGGGAGTTGGGGGGCCAGCGGAGTCGTGTCTTTGTGTGTTGGGGGTGGTGGGGTGACATGACTGGACTCCCTCAGTCCCGCGATCCGGAGCTCGGGCTGTGGACACTCCCCGGGCACCCCGCGCCGCGAGTTCCTCTCCCGCTCCTTTGTCCCCGGTGGAAGGGAGATCGGCGAGGCTGGCGGCGGGGGGTGGCGCGTTTTGGGGCCCACGGTAGGTGCGTCTGCGGCGGTCCAAAGCCCGGCGGGGACCTGGGATGGGGGGCCGGGGGCGGCTCGGCGTCCTGGGTCCCGAGCGTCAGCCCCTCCCGAAGTTTGACAGGGCGATGGCGGGGCTCGCCGGAAGCCCCCCGCGCCGCGGAGGAGGAAAGACCTGGCGCTTTGTCGCTCGGGGCGGTTTAAAGGCAAGGCTTTGGGGTTTTCCTGTGACAGCCCCTGAAGAGGCTGTGCCGCGCTCTGCAGACCGCACCCGCCTTTTGCAGAGAGTGTCGCGGTGTTCCCTAAACCTCACCTCCGGTGGCCTTCTTGCCACACACCGGAGAAAAGGCGGGGCGGGGGGGGGTCTTCGTTGCACTTTTTTTTTTTTTTCCGTTTTGTTTGCTGCTACCGCTGTGGAAAGTGCAGTCAGGTTCCAGGGAGTTTGATAGGGAGCATGCTTTTGGTTCATTGAGCAACCCACTCAAGAGCAGCTGATGCGAAGCAACAGTAGATGCAGATTTTCCATTCACGAAAGTCATCTAACACTTCTTTATGAGCGACATCTGCGTTGTGAAACATAACCTAATTTCGTTTTAACTAAATGCCGTCAGAAATACGAACTTAGGTTACACTCTAAACATATGGGAAAACTTATCTGGCTGATGATAAGAGCATATCTGCTTTAAATAACTTAATGAAGTTCTTGCCTTTTTTGCTGCTGGAAGACTTAAGTAACATTTAGTAGTGTTAGAATATCTTGGATATGGCAGGGCTTTTTTGTTTTGTTTTGTTTAAAGTAATTGCACTGTAAACAGCCCCAAATTAGTGCAACTTAAGGTCTTTTAAGATAACCTTTTAAAACAGTTTCTGCCTCTTGAAGAGAGCAAGCGAGGAACAGGTAAATTGCTTGTTACGTTTCCTCCTCCCTTAGGGTTTCCACTGAATTTGATCATGCAGAGAGACTGCTATCAGTTGCTCCGCTTGCTAGAACCTGTTTTGCAGTAAGATTCTTAAGATGCTAATTTTACAAAACAGGTTGGAGATGGAAGGAAAAGGCCATGCAATTTAAAATGCACTCTATTAAAAGTGCCACCAACTTCAAATCTGTAACTCTTTCTTTTGGTAGCAAGTATGTAGAACGAATACAATCTGCTTGTTCAAAGTGTTAGTAAAGGGAATAGATGAAACCTAAGACCTACCTAAAGGTCTTTAATTATGGAGATTAAGTTGTTGCGGTCAAATTCCATGTGAACAGTTTGAGCCACAGAGATCAACACAGGTGCCTAAAAATGCTTGTTTAATTAAAACTGGGCATGGTTTACTTCTTTCATTGAGTTGTGGTCATTACTGAATGTCTCATCTGTGCAGATGTTTTTCCATTTCAGTTTTATTTTTTGTTTGTTTGCTTTCGTTTTCTGAGATAGGGTTTTGCTGTGTTGCCTAGCTGGCCATGGCATTCATTATGTAGCCAAGGCTGGCCTTGGAACTTGGCAAAATCCTCCTGCCTCAGCCTTCTGACTGTGTGTGTGTTCCACTGTGCCTTGCTTTTGTTACATTTTTGAAGCAAGTGAATGTTTCTTAACACATTCATAGGATTTAGATATTTGGTAAAATATCTAATTTTTTAAAGTTTTTTTAAAGTAAAATATAAAATTTAGATATATTTAGAAAACTTTTAAAAAATTCTGAATTTGGTTTTGAATTGAGAGTTAAAAATCTACTTTGGAGATAGCTCTGCAATTCTGTGAGATGAAGTTCTCTTTCCATTTGCCTTTTAAAAAAATTGATACAATTGTGAATTTATAAAATGTGCCATTACACAAAAATCTTTGTTTTTAAGGGACAAATTGTAAGATGTTAGCTAAATGTTGAGTGGTCTTAGTATGTTTCAACGTGGTTTGGGTAATTACTGGTCCATCAGCAATCGATAACTTACACACAGAATTTATAGATGTTGTAATATTATTTTTTAAAATATTTGCCCTTATAGCAAAACTTGAAGTGTTATATTATGATATTTGTTTTATATCCAGAGTTGAAAACATGAATAACAATAATCTTGGAATACCAGGCAATCAAAAGTAGAGGATAAGATCATACCCTATTCTTATAAATATGATCTACAAATGGGGCATAAATACAGCTTAGAGCTACTGAGATGCTGGGTGTGGCTTTTGCTGGTGATCCTGCACTTGGGAGATAGAGGAAGGAGGGTTACCTTCGGTTTGCAGCTAGCCTTGAGATCCTGTCATCGAAAAAGGGAACCCAAACCTACTAAACAAAAACCCCACAAACCGCTGAGAAACTTTTAATGTAGGTGACTGAATGCAAGGAGATCACCAGGAGTACTTAATTCGAGCAGTTGTGGTTGAGGTAGTTTTCTTGTGGGTGGACCCACAGGTAGATATATGGACTAGTGTGTGTAGATCTCATGTTAGTAGTATATAAGAACCAGATTAGAGATTGTAGATTTATCCTTTCTACCTTAGTCTGTATTACAGACCCTTATAAAAGTATGAAATCAAAGATGGAATCTAGAAGACATAATAATAGGGATTTTCCTTCCCCAAACATGTTGTGAGTCAGGCAGCTTGTAGGGAAGAAGTCCTTAGCCTGGAATTCCATACTCCCAGGCCTTCTCCTTTTATAAAATCACCTTTGTTATCATTCTAGGTGATGCAAACTCTCCAAAATAGCAATAATCCGTTTTGCTGTTCACCAGCAGTGAAAACGCTCCAAAATAGCAACAGTCCACTCAGTTCATCAGTTATTGTGTGAATAAAAATGTAATTCCAGATACTTGCCTGGAGGACAAATGGAGTGTGTGATAGTGTCATTCAGAGTAGATACAAGTGGTGAGACATGAAGGGAGTCATTTAATCTGGGAACTTCTTGGAGAAGAGGAGTTTTATGTTATGCTTTGGGTGGGTTGTGTATCTGAAGGTAACCTAGTATCTTAAGAGGGTGAGACAGAATGAGCCAAAGCCGGACCTGGTGCTGCAGGCCTGTAATCTCAGCTACTTGGGAGTCTGAGACAAGGTCAGAGCCCACTTGATTTGCAGAATGAGTTCAAGATCAGCCTGAACATGCAGGCATGATGGCTTAGCTCGTAAAAGCATTGGCTGCCAAGTCCGATAACCTGAGTTCTGAGTTTGGTCTCTGCTGGGAGGAGACTACCAACTCCTTACGTTGTCCTCTGTCACACCAGCACTATCCATCCCTATAAATTAGTACATAAATGCAAAGCAAGAGAGACTGGCCTTAGCAACTTAGTTAAAAGTAGAGAGAACCGGATGGTGGTGGCATGTGCTTTATTAATCCTAGCATTTGGAGGCAGAGGCAGGCAGATCTATGAGATCGAGGCCAGCCTTGTCTGCAGACTGAGTTCCAGGACAGTTAGGGCTATACAGAGAAACCCTGTCTCAAAAAGCAGCCCCCCCCCAAAAAAAAAGAAGGTAAAAAAGAATGTTGGAAATGGATGCAGATTAGTCAGAGAACAGAACAAAACAACAACAACAAAACCCACAAACCCACTTTAAATAATGTCACAATAAACACGATGTTTTTGTTTTGTTTTATTTTTCCTATTACATTAGGGAAAACTTCTCCCATCCCAGTGGTTATTTCTCCTAAGAATAATGATAATTAAAAAAGTCAGCACATTTTGTAAGAGTGAACATACAGAATACTTGAGTTTTCAGGAATGTCAGTATTACAGTTAGACCAAGGAAACTGGACTGAATATCAGAAAATTTTACAGGGAGGTTTGATTATATCTTAAACAAGTAATGTCCCCTTGAGCAAATTACTGGCTTTTTCATTTGTAAAGTGGGATAATATTCTTACTTTATATCAGTGGTTCTCAACCTCCCTAATGCTATGATCTTTTAATACAGTTCTTTATGTTGTGGTGACCCCCAACTGTAAAATTATTTACATTACTGCTTCATAACTGTAATTTTGCTACTGTTATGAACTGTAAATATCTGATATGCAGGATATTTGATATGCTACACCCATGAAAGGACCATTTGAACCCAAAGGGGTCATAACCCATGGCTTGAGAACCACTGCCTTACATGATGGTTGGGAGAATGCAATTATGTGTTTTCAACTGCCTACCTCAATATTTAGCGTGTGGAGAAATTCAGCAATTATAAAATTATATAAAATCTTCTCTTTGCCTCTAGATCTTTAAATACTAGTTTAGTTCATGTATCATTAATTTAAATTTAGGGCCTTGCGTATACTAGGTAAGTGCTCTATCACTGGACTGTTAGTAAACTTACTAGGCTGGTTATCCTGAGTTCTTCTGTGTACTTGATTTCCCTCGTTGACCAATGGTAACATCTTTTGAGATAGATTGTGCTGTCTTGGTCTGTGTCTGCCCCCCTCAGATTCTTTGTGGTCCAGTTTGACATTGAATTCCTGACCCTCAGTCCGGTGCTGCCATTACAGGTTCGCCACTATGCCCCACAGGTAGTCGTCTTTGAGTGACACTTAATGTTTTCTCATTGGAGTGAATCTTAATTGTATTACTGTCTCTTGTCACAGATCACAAGGAATGCTAGATTCTTCAGAACTGTAAAGTTTTTTTTTTTTTTTTTTTTTTTTTTTTTGGTTTTTCGAGACAGGGTTTCTCTGTGTAGCTTTGCGCCTTTCCTGGAACTCACTTCGTAGTCCAGGCTGGCCTCGAACTCACAGAGATCCGCCTGGCTCTGCCTCCCGAGTGCTGGGATTAAAGGCGTGCGCCACCACTGCCCGGCCAGAACTGTAAAGTTTTAACT